TCTTGGTGCTTCAAACTTTCTGTGTGACATAAAACCCCCCGAACAACTAATTTATTAGTTGCTTGTGGTTTTAATTTGAAGGGTTTTTCCTTGTTTCATATTTTATTCATAGAAACAAAATAAGTTTCATATTTTTATTATAATTTTAGTTAATAGTTTATCTAAGTGATAAATAACAGAAAAGAAAAGATTTAATCTCATCATTTATCATTGTTGTTAAGAAAAGAGTCAACTCTAAAATTATGAACAATTCATGTATTTAACAACTGCATTATTTGAGTCAGTAAAAAATCCATTAGAATTAAAAAATGTTGATTATGATTCTCTTCCATTACCAGTTCAATTATCACCTTGTAAAGCATTATTTATTGACTCATGTATTAATAGTACTGAAATTCAAAATCATTTTCCATTGTTTCAAATACGAGATATTTTCATGTTACCGATTCAAGAATATTCTGCAATTTATGGCTGTCCTATTTCTGAAGTACCATTTATTGAAACAACAAAGTCATTATATAAAAATTGTAATTATGTTTTTGAAAGAAAGGAGTGTTTTAATTATTTATTTGCACAGATGAGAGAAGGTATTCAATGGATTATTCAAAATAAGGATATGTCAACACTCCAAATAGTTTATGATGTATTAATGTATTTTTTACATCAAATTCAACATCAAGTATTTTCTATAAAGAATTATTTTAATACAAATATTATGAGTACTAATGAACTTATTATTTATCGTATTGTTATTCAACTTTTACAATTATATATTGAACAAACAAAGATTTATCTTTATGAATGTCAAACATTTTTAACAACACAGAGTGTAACATACCCAATTACTGTATATTTAGTTGAGTCTCTTGTTCCAATATCAATTATGAAAGGAAAAGAAATACAAATGAAAGTATTTTTATTATCAGGATCTTCAGTTCATTTACCAACATTACAAGTTGATTATCCTAACGTTATTATTACATCATCAAATAATTGTTTACCTATTAATGAATATCTTGATTATGAAAAAAATAAATTTGAACCATATCCATTTTGTGGAGGATGTGTGTTATGTTCAACATTTAATTGTATAACATTAAAAGGAACAAATAAAGAAAAAATAGAATTAAGAGTTTCAGTTTCAGTTAATTTACCTAAAGAAGATGGAAATTTTATTACAACAACATTTTTATCAACAAATAAAAGAAGAATGATAATTATTACTAATAATTCTCAATGGTTTATTTCACAAAGTTCATTATTAAATGATGTAGTATTTTCAAATTCTATATTATGTTCTGTTCCTATTGATAGATTATTCAATTATTTTAATTCTATTGCACTTCTTTCATTAGAATCACAAAGTAGACAAAAATTACCAAGTTTTGATTATGAACAAGCATATTATATAACTGAGAGATATCTTCCATCTATTGGTTGTCCTCGTGGAGGATATATTAATGAAGAACGATGTTTATTTTGCATTGATATTTTATTAAAATACTATGAAATACTAACAAAAAGTAGAACATTATATGTATTATATTCACAAGGATGTCTTTTTAGATTTATTGAAAAAAATGATTTAAGTGATTTACTTATTTTAGCACAAACTAAATTACCATTTAATTGTCTTGTTGTAGCTCTTGTTTTTGATGTTGAAATGAATTCTAAAATTACTTTACATTATATATTTGAATCAACACATTATGTTTCAAGAATTCATCATTTCAGAAAAACAGAATTGGCTAAAGAATTAAATGATATTTCAATGAAAACTAATAATGACATTGTGCTTCTTCAATCAACTCAACCATTTCCACCTTTTACAGAAAATACTTGTTTTAATTTTATTAATATAGAAGAATTATTAAATGGATATTCATTTGTTGAATAAAAACAATAAAAACATTGAACAAAAAGAACGCAACACTTTTAAAAATTCATATTTTATTTATTTTTTTTATCTTCTTCCATTTTTTTATCATCATTTTCATCTTTCTTTTCATCTTTGGATTGATTAGTTTTGGCATTATCCTCTAATGACATTTTAATTGCTTTTTCAATCTCTTCTTCCATTGTCATTTCTTTCTGTTCTTCTTTTTTTGATTCTTGGACATTTGTTGTTTGTAAATTTTCATATTCTGCTAATGACGCAGCAATAGCAGCTCTTAATGCTGCATCTTCATCATAGAATTCTGTTCCACCATTGACATCTCCCATAGATGCACGAATAGCAGCAGCATATTCTGGATCAAATTCTGGATCAAATGTATTTAATCCTCCATCTCTCATAATAATATTAGTTTTAGAAATCATATCAAGTAAAATATGTGGTCCTGCTGGGACTGTTACTAAAGTACAATCATCTCCCATTTGAGATGGGAATAACTCAATGACTGGTGCATTATCAACAACCTCTCCGAATGAAACAATGTCTAATGCAATATTACTTTTCTTTAATAAATTAACCATTGTTTGTGCTTCATCTGAATTAATATTTAAAGGTGATCCAACAAATAAAATGATTCGTTGTGTGTATATTTTATCAACTCTATTAGCAAGTGCTAATTTAGCTACTAATAACGCTTGTTTAAAGTCACTTGAACCACCAATTTTGGCTTCATGTAGTCCACTTAAAATTTTTCCAAAGTCACCTGTAAGAGTAACAAGGATTCTCTTTCTATTTAAGGTGAGTTATGTTATCGATATGAAGTTTAAATCTATTTTCTTACTTTGTATTAGAATAGAAAAAAACAAACGATTCACTTCCAGCAGCAATGAAACCAACATGATTTTCTGGATTTTTTCTTAATCTTCCTGAAGTGATTGCTTGAACTGCTTCAATCTGTGCTTCCATTCGACTTGGGGTATAATCACCATTTCTCATATAATCCGATGTATCTATAATAATAATCGTTGCTTCTGGCATAACTTTTTTGATGAATGAGTATATTATTTTGAGATGAAAAAGAAAAACCATAGACTAAATAACACAAAAGTTATTGAAGTTTTACCGAAAAAAATGTTTTTGTTTGAAAAGACAAAAATATAAAAATAGAAAGAAGAACAAGAAAAATCATTACATAAAGAACAATGAGCGACTCTCAAACAATAGAAATTTTAGTTAATAGACTTGAAAATGAAAAAACAACAATAAGTGTTCCTAGTATATTAACATTAAATGAATTAAAACGGTTAATTTGTAATTCTCAAAAAGATAGAGATAATACTGTTTGTTGTTTATTTAATATTGCAGTGTTTAATTCAAAAAATAAATGGGTTAATGAATTGTATAGGAATTTACTATATTTCAAAAAGGAGAGCCATTAGAAAAAGAACAAGTTAAATTACAGAATGGAGAAGAAATCGTTGTTGTTTATGTTTCAAAATATCAAAATAAAGATATTAATTTATTTGAAAAGACAGATATGACAATTGATGATAGTGATAAAGAAGAACAACCTTTAACTGAAGAAGAAATGATGCAAGTTTTTAATCATTTAACTCAACAACAAAAAGATGACATATTAATTCTGAGTGATATTGGGTTTGACCAACAAGTTGCTGTTGTTGCTTATTGTATGTGTGCTGGAAATAAAGAAGTTGCTGTAAATATGTTATTAACTGGAGAAATTGCAATAGACATGAGAATTATCACTCAGTTTATGTGTAAGAAATTTCCTAATGCTGTTAGAGAGGTTAGACCAGCGTTACTTAATCGTAGAAGAAACATTACCACAAATAATGAACGTGCACTTGGAGTTGAAGATTTATTATTTAGAGCATTGTTAAATGGTGGACGACTTGAAGATATTCTTAATGGATTTAGAATTATTGGTGATTTAGGAGAAGAAAATGGTGATTTAGGAGAAGAAAATGGAGATGAGAATAATGATGAGAACAATGAAGAAGAAAATGGAGATGATGGTAATACTGAAAATATGGAGTTGTAAACCAACATTCTTTAATAAAAAGATTTTAGTAATACGCTATAACTTAATTACATTTATTGTATTTGTTTACATTATTTTAAACAATAGTCTTATATAAATTCATTAGTATTGTTCATATACATTTTTTAAAACAAAATATATTCTACCTATTAAAAGCAACAAATATGTAATGTTCTATTTGTGTTTTCTTAAATAAATAATGTTACTTATTTAACTAACTTATTTATAATGGTTAGGTGATACAATGATATTTACTAAAATCCTTTAATAACATTAATTTTTGACATGTCCATATCTTTTATAAAATACTTCATAAGAGTTTTTCTATAAACCACTGTTTCTTGTAATTACTAAGAGTAGTTAATGTTCATCCTTCAATAATAACATAATATTTAACTTCATAGATAAATGATTCAAATTTATGTTTAGTATTTGTTGTTTTTTGAAAAAAGAACAACATTCACCACTAACACATAAAACAACAAATAATTATTAGCTATTTGTTTATTAAACTTCTTCATTAATACCTATTGATTAATTTTCATTTTTGTTGACTTCAGTTGTTTTGGTTTCAAATAACTCGGAGTATCAGAAATAGAGTTTAAGAGAAAACAAAGTATTTTCATCATTTATCAATTGTTTTTAGAGCTTGAAAATCAAATGAGTAACAATGAAGTCAATAAATATTAGCATGTATTAAATAATTAAATGGCACAAGTTCACTATTTATATTCAAAAATACTGAAGAATATCATAAAAGTATTATATATTTGAAATAAACATGAGAAAAAGTTAAAACTGAAACAACTAACAATTATATAAACAAAGAGTAATACCAACAAACAAA